TACAGTCTGTGGTTAAATCTCAACAGGAGTTTACAAAGTTGACAATTCAACAACAGATGAGAGAATCAAACAGTGACAGGAAATGCAATAATAATATATCAGAGATAATGGTACATGACTGATGTTTTTATGTTTATTAATTGCTATTTTATGCAATACCTTTGAATACAAATACATTCCTAGATGGTATTAGTATTTTTTTGTAAATACTTGGTAAGATTTTACAAAATAGGGGGGCCGGTGAAATAGATAGGGGCTGGTGCTCTGTGACTGGGTGCAGCTCTGACTGCCACCACCCCGACCCAGAAATGGATTAAGGGGAAGAAAATGGATGGATGGATGGATTGGTAAGATTTATTTACTAAAAATAACATAGATGATGCTTTTTCTTTAATGGCAACTTTTTTTTCTTTTGCCTGAATGTAGTTTTTCATGAAAGATTATGTTCCTAGTTTTAAGACCATAACACTTCATAATGTTATCAGAGAAAAAAGTCTGAGCAATGAGTTTTTAAGCTTGTTAAAAGTATTTTTATTATTTCCAGACAACTTTTCTTGTGTATATAAAATAAGTACGTGATGTTATATTTAAAAAAAAAAAAAAAAAAACTTCTCAAAATGTTAAGAAATGAGTAAATAATACATGAAAAGTATGTTTTTAAACTAGAATGAAGTTATCTGGGGCTAGTATTACATTCAGAAACCTTTCCCGGTCATATTTCTTGGCTCTATTGGCAGATCATATCTTATTTTAAGCCGTATTTTACTTATAATGTATTGGTTCTTATTTTTCATCTTCAATCCAATCGATCTGTATTTGTAGAGCACCTTTCCTACTCAGGGCAACACAAAACACTTCACAATCCACATCATACAAAGCACAAATCATCACATAAAACACAAAAAACATTATCACACCGCTAAAAAGGGAATCAAATGATAAATATGTCACGAGGTGGGATGCAGGAGGACTCAAAAAGCAGGAAACAGACACAATACAGGACCGACGTCAACAATACGTCAACCAGCAACGAGAATAGAGACGCACAGGTACATATGGACACAGACACAGGTGAAACACATCAGGGCGGGGCAGACAATCAAGACATGGGACAGGACAGGAAGTACTACCAAAATTAAACCAGAGAGCTAAAAATAAAAACAACAAATACAGAAATAAAATCCACACCGTGACAAAATAACCACAGTGCTTAAAAATACATATAAAATCCTTCACCCTGTACCATTTAGCAGAAAAAAATAATTTCATTTCATTTTCATTTTCAACCCCTTTATTAATCCATTTCTGGGTCAGGGGGGGTGGCAATGAGAGCTGCCACCCAATGCTCATAGCACCAGTCCCTCACTGACCCTCTGCAGGGGGTGAGTCCACAGGAAGATGGCTGCTCTGTCAGTGGTGAAGACAGCCTTGATCTTTCAGCAGGGGCTTCAGGCAACGTGGGGTTAAGTGTTTTGCCCAAGGACACAACGACAGCAGTCATCAGTGGGAGCAGTTGGAGTAGGTCCCATGGTGGAATTCGAACTCACGACCTCCAGGCCCAAAGGCCAATGCTCTACCAACTGAGCTACTGTCGCCCCAAAAGAAAAGAAAAAAATAATAAAATGCTGAATTCAAGCAATTTAAAATAATGGGAGATATTTCTTATTGTACACAAGGAACCCTGACCACAGTAAAGCAAAAATCTGGAGCAGCTTGTCCCATCGCTGCTCTCGTCCCGCTCCCATTCACACATTGTATTTGTACAGAACCGCCCATGCTTCAAATTGACTCCTCATTGTCCGTTTCATATTGTAGGCCCTGTCACTCCCGTATTCGTCCCGGAAACCGGATTCGTCCGGAAGTTCAGTTTGCGCATGTCAAAAAGTTTAATATGTCCTTAAGTGGAGACTGGTTAACTCATTGACTGCCATTGACGTATTTGTCTGAGACCCTCTGTTCGACTGGGGTTTACAGGACAATTAAAATAGCTAGAAACAAACTTATTTTTGCGGATGAAAGTAGACAATAGAGTCTTTCAGAATCTGGTTTCATATTTCAAATAGTCTTAGGAAATAAAATTCTGTGAGTCTTGAGAATCAGTGAAATCATCAAAAACGGCTGGCAGTCAATGAGCTAAGTTTAGGCGTCTGATTAAGATGGTTAAGTTTAGGGTTAAGGCTGGGTTTGGGTTATTTTATGGGAATGGCTGGTTAAGTTTAGGCATGAATAGGTAGTTTTTTATATTTACTGCCGCTTCCGTCCAGATTCCGTGACGTAATCTACTGCTGCGTTTGCTCATTGGATCAAACTGAACTTCCGGACGAATCCGGTTTCCGGGACAAATACGGGAGTGACAGGCCCCGCGATCCTTCCAAGCCCCGGCGATCCAAGATGGCGTCCTATTCAAATCAATGGCTTGTGCTCAGGGACAATGGGCCTCATTCACGAATAACTTCGTAAGAAACTACTCAACTTTCTTCTCAAGTTGTCCTTAAGTAGATTTCTAAGAAGTCCCCACGTGGGATTCATCAACGCACTCGTAAGGCGCTGAATTGTTCGCAGCTGTTCTCTCAGATTGATGAATCCCATTTCCTCGTAAGTACAGCGCGCGTGCCAGGTGCTTCATTAGCATAGGTACTTAGCATAAGTAACCGCCCATTAATGCCCATATAAGGGACTGCAGGGCCGTGTGCAGACGGCAGAGGAAACAGCAACAGGCCTAAAGCAACAGGCCACGGAGCAAAAGAGTCACCCTTTTTTCTTCTTTTACCAGACTGAGAATAAAGTTATAAAATGTTGACTTAAAAGTCGAAATATTATGATAATAAAGTCGAACTAGCAAAATTATGAGATTAATCTAAGAATATGATGAGATTAATATCAAAATGTTATGAGCTTAATTTAAAAATATATTATGTATTATTTTAAAGATGAATCTCAAAATGTTTTGAGATTAATCTCAAAATATTTTGGACCCTGGGAGGAGATCCAGCGCGGACCAGCGCTGAGACCAATGCAGACCCGAGGAGAGACTGGAGTGACCAGCACACAGAAACCAGCGCGGACCTATAGGAGAGACCGCATAGACTGTAGTGACCTGACTGGAGAGACCGGTACGCCGAGACCAGCGCGGACCAAAGAGAGACCGCATAGACCAGACTTGAGAGACCAGCGCGGACCCGTATGGATCCAGGAGCATGCAGCACGGACCCGTATGGAGAGAGACCAGTGCAGACCCGTATATGGGAGAGACCAGTGCAGACCCGTCTAGATCCATGGGAGAGACCAGTGCAGACCCGTCTAGATCCATGGGAGAGACCAGTGCAGACCCGTATAGATCCATGGGAGAGACCAGTGCAGACCCGTATAGATCCATAAGAGAGACCAGCGCAGAGACTCAGCGCGGACCCAGTAACCTCCTGCAGCAGCAGTATATATGCCGTTGTTCTGTGGCCCGTGGATAAAGAAATGCCCCCTATAAATAGGAAGGGGTCACTAATACACGGCAAGATTTCCAATGTATTTGATAAAGCGTTGGCACATTTCATTTCAAAATGAATTAAAAAGTAGGCCAGATCTGCAGTGAAAAAGGCGGTATATAAATAAAGATTACTAATAAAGATTACTACAAATAAATAAATACATACATCGATATGACGGACATATCACTGGAATGTTGTATTTTTATTCAACTTCACCAAAGAGGACAACCCCGGCGTGTGAACATGTCGGCACTGAATGCGTACGAGTGCTCCTGAGGACTCGTAGGATTTGTACTTGCCCAAGAGAAATTCTGGTTACGAGAAATATTCGTGAATGCCACTTTCTTCGTAAAAACCGCGTAAGTAGGATTTACGTACAAATCTGTTCCTAAGAACCGTTCGTGAATGAGGCCCAATGTTCCCTCTAAGCTGCATGTGTGCACAGTTGCACAGTGCTTTTAGGGTCGCAGCAAACAGACAACTCTTTCCTTCGCACACAATGAAAATCCAGCGTCCTGTGTCTCCAGCACATATGACACGGGCGCATATTTTAACAGTGCATGGACCACGGTGGATCTGCGCAGGCTTCATTCTTTATCCAGAAGAAATCAGATCCGAAAGCTCTCTGTCTGTGACCATGAGGTACACAGTAACTCAGTTGGTAGAGCATTGGCCTTTGAGCCAGAAGGTCGTGGGTTCAAGCCCGACTTTCTCCATCGACTCCCACTGTCTGCTGCCGTTGTGTCCTTGGCAAGACACTTAACCTCTGGGAACACCTGATGCCACAGTGGGGCGGCTGCGGCTGTAAAGTGCCAAACTGCTGTTGTGTCCTTAGGCAAGACACTTCACCCCCATTGCCTAGAATGAATCACTGCAAAAAATGATCAAATATGAGATGATAATTGCTAGAATCGAGTTTTTTTTAACTTGACTTAACCCTATAAAGCCCGGTCCATGAAATAATTGTCAGAAAATTCAAATTTTTGGAGACTGGTGTGTTTACTGACCCCTGTAACATAAATGAAAATCAAAACGTCAAATTTCAATTTGCATATATGACTATTGATTTGTATCACTTTTGATACATCGGGTTATTGTTAGAAAATGTGAACAGAACCATCCATATACAATATTTGTGTTTTCTTTCAGAAAAAAGTATTTATTTTGTAAACAATTGTAATCAAGTAATTTCCACATTACATACAACATCGTAATAGTGCAAAGGAACATCAAACACATTCTGTATCTTGACTTAATGGTGCTTCAACGCAACAACAACTGAAACAGTGGAACTGAAATGGCAAAAGACAAGCTTTTTCCTTTTTTTGAAAAAAACTTATTTTCTGAACTCTTTATTTTGCAGCGTGGTATCCCAGAAAACAGTTTCTGTCCTTGTTCAGGCAAAGGTGGACCTTGCACTTCTCACAATACACATGTGTGAAGTGATTTCCTGTGCAGTGCTTGCATCTTTGTCGAGATTCCCATGTTGGAAAATGATCAATGCCATCTTTTCTCACATCAGAGGGCACACGAGCGCATGGCCTTTTGCGTAGGGCAGGTGTCCCTCCAGCTCTGGAAGATGTTTGTGGTCTGCCACTCCTGATCCTGGCCTTTCCTGCACTTGTGAGAGAGTTTCCAACAGCAGCTTGAAATCTTCGCAAGGGCATGCTTTTCTCCCCAGATCTCAATGTCTGCTGATCTCGTCTGTAGAGGTTCCAAGCATTGATTACTGCCACTGTGACCGTGTGCCACCAAATGTACATATACCATCTTCGAGATTTGAAGTTGAACTTGTAAAGTGCAGTTAACATATCAAGAAGGTCAATTCCCCCCATGAACTTGTTGTATGTTTCAACAATGGCTGGTCTGGGAACCATCATGTATGTTTTTGACTTTCGATCCCAACGCTTCACACTTCCCATGGGTTCGATGCCAACATAAGAAGAAAGCAGGTTCACCGGTTTGTTGTCATTCCATCTCACAATAATTATGTTGTCTTGGTTCACTCTGGCATCAAGAGACCCTCTTCCTTTTTCTTTCAAAACTTTCTCATCCATCATATTGCAGTTTCTTACCCTGTTCATTCGAACTGTGCCGATGTAGTAGATTCCTCTTTCTTTCAAGTGTTCCACCAACGGAACTGATGTGAAGTAGTTGTCTGCAAAAACCTTGTGATTTTTTCCTGCTGGAAGGGTTGAGGTCATCTTCAGAACAACATCTCCAGAAGCACCAACATCTGATTTCACTTTGTGAGGATCTACTGCCCCTTGGCAAACGTCAAAATCATACAGATAGCCACTTTGCCCTGCACGCCCCCACATCTTGAACCCCCACTTGTGAGGTTTTCCTGGCATGTACACCCGAAGATAAGATTTTCCTTTGAAAGGCACCATGATTTCATCTACGGCATGGCATTCTTCAGGGGGAACACTAAGACATTGTGCACGTAGTTTTGTTAACCATGGCCTGAGTTTCCAAAGTTTGTCCTTCTGTGCATCATCAGAAACACTGAGGTTGTCCTGAAAGTGAATCATTGTCAGCAACTTCAGGAAACGATTTCGAGACATCACATCAGACACTGGAGAGTATTTTGTCTCCATTTCCCAAAAGGCTCGTACATTTGCCATCTGTACTAACCCCATGTGCAGGTACATACCCAAAACTTTCTCGATCTCATTTGCAGTTGTGTCCACTGACATCCCTTCTTTTTGTACACTGTAGAGGTTTGTTGGTTCAGCTATCTCCTCAAGCATGTTGTTGTTCACAAAATATTTAAAATACATGTATGGTGTCCAGTCATGCCGTTCATCATTTTCCTCAACAAATCCACCAAATGTTACATTTGGGGTGTCAAAATCTTTCTTCTTCCACTGATATTCTCTCCTTTTCACTTTGTCTTGTGCTGGTTGATTTGTTGTCTGTGCTGTATCATCAACTTTGGCACTTGTCTGGCCCAAACTTTCATCTTCTTTGTCATCATCACTACTAGCAGAGTCCTCCTCCATGTCCTTTGAAGTAGGAGTCCAATCCTTATCCTCTACAAAATCATCTTCAGGGTCCTCTAACTCTTCCATGTCACTCAAATGTCCATCGATTATCATTTTCACCACATCGTCAATGCTGTAATATTTTTCCATCTGAAAATATACCAAACATTTAATTACTTGGAATATTGATACCTACAAACAAAAAAAATACCTATTTTTACTCTACATTTAGAAACTAAAATTCCCAAAAGCTTATTGCTGTATCTTAGTTACTTTATGACTACTGATACATATCAGTAGTCATGAATTTAAATTATTTAGCCTAAATAAACCTGGATTAAACAGTTAAACATAATTTATAAAAAATAAATAAAGATAAAACAAACTGGATGTTGCATTATTGGATGCATAAGTTTTGAAATGCAATGAAAAAACAAACAACATATTCAAGGAAAAAATTACCATATAAAGCCGCTGAATAGAATTTGATACACACAATTTCAACACGGTTTTACTATAACTAAAGTTGTAAAATCTAAAATCTTTTTACATTGTATGATTCATCTAAACCTTCCCCTAGAAGTATCAGTAACAATGTCAAAGTTTTTCTTACCTTAAAATGTTGAAATCTGAAATGATGTTAGTAAAAAAAAATATGTTGGTCAGAGAGCTCAGTGAGGTTTTGTTCTTGTCTCACATGTGTCACTCTGGTGCCCGAATTACTGACCTCTGGTGGATGGACATGTGAATTACAAGTGTCTGATTGTATACAATGAGCTTTTTGGTAGATTTTTTTTTTTTACTGATTAAGTTGTGAGCTCAGAAATTCATGTATCAAATACGATTCAAATGGCGTTATAGGGTTAAGTACATTCTGACTGTCTTAAAATGAGATTTGCCAACGAGACAAGCAATTTTGACTTGATTCAAGAACTATTGCTTTATTTTCTCATTCCAAGAGAAAAATATCTTGTATCTTTTTAAAACAAGACAATTTTTCTTGTTCCACTGGCAAATCTTGTTTTAAGGCAGTCAAAATGTGCTCAAATGTAGATACATTTAGCCAAGTCTTTAATTCTGTCATCTTTTGCAGTTTGGTGTGTGTGTGAATGGTTGGTGGTGGTGGGAGGGGCCGATGGCACAGACTGGTTGCCTCGCTTCTGTCAGTGTGCCCTAGGGCAGCTGTGGCTACAGTCGTAGTTTATCACCACCGTGTTTGAAGTGAATTAATAATGACATGTGAAGCGTCTTTGAGCGTCCAAAACAGCGCTATATAAAACCGATGCATTATTATTATTATGTCCGCGAGTGCGGGAGAAGCGCCCGACACAGAAGTCTGAAGCTGCGCTTGATCCAGAACAGGGCTCGGACCAACAGCACCCTGCACACTGAACTCACGCACTCGGTCTTGCTGCAGACTTGCGAGTGGTGTCTTACGAGCACTACACCAGCTGCAGTGTGTGTGTGGGGCACTTATGTAGGGAAGACCAGCGTCCTCTTCAGTTCAGCAAAGTTGCCTATTGCTGAGTAAAGTTGGTTTTGGGGCAATATGACTATTATTATCTTAGATCATTTTAGGTCTATGGATCTTATTTTATAAAGCCATATGACTGAATAAAACCATATACACTATGTAATAATATTCTATAATTAGTCTATTTTAAATATGAAAAGACAAAATCCTTCACCAAATATATTCCTCAATCTACTTTAAATTCACCATCTATAAAATACTTGAATCATGATCAGGTGAATATTGAACAGAATGATTTTTTGAAGCTGGAGTAACGGAGTAATGGATTTTACTGGGAAAAAGTTCAGGACAAAAAGGGATGCAAAAATCCCCTCAAAATCCGACCTTTGCGAAAGCCGTAGGTGTCTGTCAGGTGAGGTCGAGCTAGTTTATATCGAGTTCTATAGGACATTTTTTTTGGGCAGCCCTTATGAATTTAGTCTGCAGTACCACAGACCCTCTGTACCCGTTGGTGGGAAAGCTATAAGCTTGTGATTCCCTATCCAGATATTATTATAGATCCATGATTGCTGCCAAGACAACAACAAGCTAGCAAACCTCAGTGAAATAAATACATGCATAAGTCGTGCAGGGTCAAGCCTCGAGCTGCTGACACCGTTGCGTTCTCTGACATGTAGATTTGCACGCAGCACAAGGGCTCGCCAAAAAACTCTGTCATAAATCAGAAGCGAGGGCTTTTTGTGTAACAGAAAGTTGTTGGGCAATCTCAATTTACAGCACGTTCTCTGACATTTACTGCCATGCATTATGAAAGTTCTTCTTGATTGTGTGCAAGAGGACTATACGGCGGGTGCGTTAGCAACGTTAGCATGCTACTAATTTGGGAGATTTCAAAGTGAATTAGAAAAACCACTAAACGGAGACATGTTTGAGGTGAGAAACTGCAAGTAATTAGGATTAAGATGAACCCTTTAATGTTCACCTCTTGAAGAAAGAAAGGTACAAAGATGTAGAAGCACTAATAACAAAAAAATATTGTTTTTTGTTTTCGTTTTGAACCCTCTAGTTTTTAGGCCTCTACAAAATGGCTGGGACAGTTTTATGGTAAAAGTACCTAAAATACGGTAAACGGTGAGGAAGATTTCGGTTCCAAGCTTCAAGTAGATGTGCACTGCAAAAAGTGATGAAAAATTGGTCAAAAATTGATCAAATTTGGTTAAATTTCAGCATATTTTGACAACATTTGATTTTACCTATACCCATTAAAGGGTTAAGAGAATAGGATAGACTGGAATACACATGTTAAAGTGTATGTTTAAATTCTATTAATTAACTATTTTTCTCATTGAAGCAGGCTCAATCTGGATCCACTCGTTCCTGCATCTAAAACAGTTTTAGATCTATCACCGGTTTCAGTTTTCACGTCTTTTAGATCCGTTATTCCAGGACAGAAATATAAAAAAAAAATTTGAGGTCTGGTTTGAAAGCAGGACTGGGTGTAAAGTGTGTCATAAATTGGGAAAAATAAACCCAAAAATCCGAAAAAAACAAATGCATTATTATGTCAGAGTAAAACCGTAAAGCTTCCTCTGGATCATGGACTTATTGGAGGTCAATAAATAGAAAAACATTATAAACAACTTGTTTTTGACGCATCTGTCGAGGAAAAAAAAACTGGGATGAAGAAAAAGATCCTTTGTTCGTCCCACAATGGGAACATTTGAGTTGGATACATACACCTTATCGGTAAAGTGGGTAAAGTGTCTTGCCCAATCACACAACGACAGCAGTGGGAGTCAGTGGAGAAGGTCTCGTGGTGGGCTCGAACCCATGACCTTCAGGCTTAAAGGCCAATGCTCTACCAACTGAGCTACTATCGACCAATGGGAATTCTAACGGCTTCAGAATCCTGGGTTAGTCCTATATCGTTTTAATAATATTGTCACACAACGCTAGCGGTTTAGAAATCTCCACACGCAGAGGGGCTTTCAGGAGTTTGCAAAGTGAAAAAAAAAGGGAAAATCCACCTCCTGTTGCGAACGGAACAATGGCGAGCTTAATGCAACTTATGCACGAGCGCCACATCCTCGCCAAGACAAACGCTTTTCTTCACGGCCACGGCAGACGCATATGAAAGCATTTGTGAGTACTTTGAAGCGGCTGTGTTTGATTGGTCGATGAGAGATAGATGTTACAGCAGATAAGCAGGAGAATGAAGTTTAGCAGCGTCTTCTGTGGGGGTAATGCCTTTTCATTTGATAAGTGCACTGCAAAAAATGATCAAATATGAGATCATAATTGCTAGAATCGAGTTTTTTTTTAAACTTGACTTAAGTACATTCTGACTGTCTTAAAATGAGATTTGCCGATGAGACAAGCAATTTTGACTTGATTCAAGAACTATTGCTTTATTTTCTCATTCCAAGAGAAAAATATCTTGTATCTTTTTAAAACAAGACAATTTATCTAGTTTTAAGACAGTAAAAATGTGCTCAAATTTAGATACATTTAGCCAAATTTGAGCATTTTTTTGTCTTTAATTCTGTCATCTTTTGCAGTGTGTTGAAAAGACAAAATGCTCTTGTGTAAACATTAAGCCATAATTGTTTTCACACTACAAAAAACGATATTATGATGTAATAATTGGTTTTTACCTTAATCTGACACATTCTGACTGTGTATCAACAAGATTCTCCAATGGGACAAAGCCATTTAGTTTAATCTCAAGAACTGTTGCTTTATT